ATATATATATATATATATGACTTTTATTTTGGTTGTATTTGTTATGGATGGCAGTGGTTGTTATGTTATGGGCTTCAAATATCCTAGCCCATTTATGACTGGTTTTAGGTGTAATTTGAGGATCTTGGAGTTTTATGATAGATTTGATATATATGAAACCAGATGTTTTGGTTATTTGTTGCTATGGTAACAATTTTGCTATTATGGAAAAGTGATTATTACTTTGTTATGGATATGATATTTGAATAACCATGGTAGGCTCCTATTTGATTGGTTTTGGTTCTTTTTACCATGGTTGACTTTTCAAAGTGATTAACAAAATCTTTTATAACTATGATAGTTTTCAATTGTATGATTTATTCTTTCTACCATAGTTATTACTTAAATATTTTGAGTTGACTTTTTTCTACTATAATAGTCATTAAAAATTTAATTGTTGTTTTGGAAATAAGTAAACATAGGAATTATGGGGGTTGTTACAGTTGGTAATTAGAGCCTTTCACATAGCTCTCCTCATCCTCAAATTCCACATCCTCTGCGACAATGGCTCTAGTAGAGATGATGGCTGCCTATAACAACTTTCAGAGAGAGAAACCTTGGGACAGTGACCCTTACTGCTTCAAGGGCGTTAAGATTTTCATCGATTATATTCTTCTTTGAGAGAAAAAGCAATTGCACAGGTGGAAGAGGAGAAGGGAGGATGGGAACAACATTAGAGAGGAAGAGAGAGAGGTTGCAAAGCATGGGCAGAATGGGGAGATGGTCAGCAAAGTAAGGTTTCAATTTTTTCAAATAATAAATTAATATTATTATGTAGATGTGGATTTCTTTTTTAATGTTTTGCCTCCACTACCACCTAGGATGTTATTATGGCTAGACCTTCTTATACATCATCATTTTCAATCAACAAGTAAGAGTCATTAACAGATGTTTGCCATGGATAACGGCATTGACATTTTTGCACCCATTTTAAACTTACATTGATAGATATACACCCAAAAAAAAAGTATATGGTGTTTGGCACATATTTGAAAAAATTTGATGGGTATTTTTGCACTTTAACCCTTAATTTTAACAAAAAAAAAGTTTTATCATTTTTATTTAATTCAAATATAGCTTTGTATTTTGTTAGAAACTTTCATTTTTAATTTGATTTTTTAATTTCTTTATTGTTTAATCATTCTTATATCATGAAAATAATTATTAAAAATGAATTATATGTTTATATTTCAAATTTTGAGATTAATTTAATTATACAATAATAATGAAAAATATAAAAAAAGGAGAATTCAGTCTATCAAAATTTGTAATTTAATTTAAAATTTTAAAAATACATATATAAAAAATTATTTTTTTAAAAAAAAGGGTGTTGGCTAGCCAACCTACCAACTAAAGGTGTGTATGGACCAGACTGTATTAGGTTAGTCATCAAACCGAAGTCTATTCTAGATAAGACTATGGGTTGAAAAAGATAGCATGTCATTCGATTTGATTCAATTCTAACCCATAGGCGGGTTGGACTTGGTCCACTAGAATACCTAGATCAGTCCAGATAGTCCAGAATCCTAATTTATTTCTTTTCTTTTTGCTTTTTTTTTCCAATTGTGATAAGCAAGATTTTAACATGACAAACACGAATAACACAATAAAAATGCCTATAATTATATAAAACTTATAACAAAACTTTAAAATTTAATTATAAATGCATAAGAATCTATAACAACATTTAATAATAATAAATATCAACATCCAATTCACAATATAGTAAAAAAAAAATTCACCGGACTGGTCTTTGAACACTTGGTTAGGAACCTGGTCCAACCCAACCAACCATTCTAGTCCAGTCTAGTCTGATTTTATCAAAGAGCTTATTTGGACCTGGACTGAACCACCAGGTTTTTCCACAGTCCTATCGCCAACCCACCTCTGGCAGGCTTGAGTTGGCTAAATGTTAGCCAAGCAAGAAGTGGTCCTTTTTTTTTTTTTAGTGATACAATGGGACTAGGCTGGACTAGAATGTTAAACAGCAACTAGGTGGGATATACATACCCCTTCAACATCATCTCTAAGAATGATTTCAACTTCTAGAGGTGGGCACAACCAAATGATACTCAAACTTATCTCAATCAAACTCATACCAGCTAGTCTGTGGGCACATCGGTTTGCCTCCCTGAACACATGAGAAATCTCTACTTGCCAGTCCCTCCTTAGTAGTTCTTGGATAGTGAGGGATTGAAAGTGACATCGTAGTATAGTCCTCTTACCATTAATTTCTTCTACTATTTTTGTTGAGTCACATTCTACCTCTATTCTTTGAAACCCCATAGACTAGCAAAGCTTAAGACCTTCTAGCAGCCCTTGCGTTTCAACTTCTTTACTATTATAGTGATGGTATTTTTTGCATACCTTGCTAGCCATTCTCCACTATCACCTCTTATTACTCCACCACAACCTCCTTGCCCTAAACTAATGGACGATCCATCTTAATTGAGTTTACCCCACTATTTCCTTAGTGCTTTACTCCTCACCACCATCCCACCTCTTCTCATAGTTCTCTAAATAATTACGAACCAACCTTCTTGTATATGGTAGCCTTTGAAAATTTACATCATGATGATAACTCTGGTTCCTCCACTTCCAAGCATGCCAACAGCCTACTGCGAACACTTCTGGCCATAAGAGGTCAACTTCTCTGAATCTTTTTACACATAAGTATCTTCTCAACCAAGCAGAGCGATCAGTATTGTACAAATTGCAACCAAAACAAATCTTCTCATTTTTCATGTTAAAATTAACAGGATATGACAAGTACCATACTAGCATGATTGAGCATGGGAACATATTCCAATAAAACAATAAAAAGATTAAAAGAATAAAAAAGGGAAAAAGAACCAAGCATCTATGGCCAAACTATCGACAAACTTAGGATGCTTGATACTTGTGTTATTTCGCTGAAAGCAAGCCAATAAGTTCACTTGAGATCCAAAAAGCATTTATTTCCACCTCCCATCTGACGCGTATAACATAATATATAGTGTCGATAGGTCTCTCAGCAGCGTCAAACTTTCTTCCTTCACAAATTTTTCAAATTCACGGTAGCTCCCTTCTTTACCTTTAATCAAGAATGGGAAGTTGCAAGATGGAGACAAGTTTGAAGGAGTTAGTGATAAATAAGAAGGGAGAAACATGGAAAGTGGAAGGGATTTATGTGGCATGTACAACTGTGTTTCTGACAGCTTTGAGTGTGAATCCCATGGTCACTTTTCAGGCAATTGCTTACTGTCCAGTAGAATCCATACTTGAAGCTAATCCACCTCATTGGCAATGTGTATGCTCAGTTAACCTCTATAACTCATTAATTAAAATTAACAGATTTTGGCCTCAAGGCTGGATGCCCTTAACAGAACAAAGTCTAAGGACCTACACACTAGTTTTTCCATCTATGTAACATGAATAATTTTTACAATTATTCAAAAATGATAGTTTTGTTTTTCATTTGCTTTTAAAATTGAATTATATGTGATTTATTTATAGGAAAATCCATTAAAAAGACACTTGAATAGCTCAAATCCTTACTTGAGTCATTAGATTTGTCAAATTCTTATTTAGGTCACATGACCTAAAGAGTAATTTTAAAATTTTTATGAAATGTCTTTAATATCCCTTTGATTAAAAACCAAAAGAGAATTTTAAGCTAAAATGTTCGATTTCATAAGTAACATGTTTGAATTATAAATTAACAACTTCAAGTCTCCATACACACTTATAATAAGCCTTGGAATAAAACTTAATCACAATACAATCTTAAAAAATTAATAAATTCGATTATGCAGTTAACAAGTTTTAGTTCTGAATTAATAGTTTTATGTCTTTAAAACACACTTGCAATGAGTCTTTCAACAAAACTTGATCACAATACAATCTTAAAAATTACCGTGTTTCTTTTCAAAGTTAACATGCTTTCATTCTAAATTCACAACTTCCTGTCTCTGTAACATTTGCAATAAGTTTGTAAATAAAACTTGATCATAATGTAACATTAAAAATTAATATGTTTCATTTCACAATTAACAACTTTCTGTCTCCATAACACACAATAAGTCTCTAAATAAAATTTTACCGCAGTACAATCTTAAAAATTAACATGCTCCATTTCGTAATTAATACATTTTAGTTATAAATTAACAACTTGCTATCTCTACAACACATTTGCAAGATTAAGGGATTAATATTTAATAAAAGAAATTAACTCATCATTGCCTCCTTAATTGATTTTTTGACTTCGCGACGTAGATGCCAAGTTTTCCTCAATAAAAGCTCTTATGCAGTACGGCAATGACAAAAAGCATAATCTCTTTGTGTTTCTAATAAAGAGGGTATTATAGTCATTTTGTCATGTAACCTAATTAAGGTTTTGACAAATTCAATAACCCAAATGAAAATTTGAATTATTTAAATGTATTTTTAAGGGATTTTTCCTTTATTTATTAAGGTATATTGTCTAAGTGATGTTACCTCATATCATATCTACTAATTTATTATTTTTAAACATGAAAATAGCACTTGACCATTTACTCAATTTTTAAATTAGTTTGGAGAAAAAATAAATATAATAATTTAAATTAGTTTATTTAACTTATTTAATGTCTCCAAATTAGTCAATTAAGTCTTATATTAATTTTCTTAGAGTGAATTAGAGTTCCCTAAACTATCTAACTTGTTAACAAATAAATTAGATCCATTAAGTCTTCTCTTTTAATTTTGATACCGTTAACAAAACTTGAAGGCAGCTAGCTAGACACAGAAAATAACATTTCTAACATTTCAACTGAAAAAGACCAAAAATCAAAGGTCTTGTTGGCCAAATCACATACGAAGATGAAACTTCACAAGCTTACAACATTAATTATTTTTGTTGCACATATATACGCACCAACATTAATTATGAAGATGACATAACTTCACAAGCTTCCAATATTGAGTTGACATGCGGGAAACCTGTCGACCATCATGCATGTTTCTCCATCAGCTGTCTAAACAATTCTTTGGGTGCTGAAAAATTAATTATGATGAAATTAGCATACATGAGTTATCATTAATTAATTAATTTAGCAGACTATAAAGTAATAATTAAATCATGATGTTAATTACATATTACCCGGCAAACCAGTGAAGTTTTTGTATTGTTCGAAGCCTTGGCGGATCAACATCTCTGTACCATACACAATAGCAGCGCCTGTTTCCTTTGCCTCTTGCAATAGTCTGGTGTCCTTTGGCATGTAGATCGCATCAAACACCAGGGAATAATGCCTTAATGCATGCTGCAAGTTTCAATGCATTTATTTAATTAATTAATGAGTGTTAGATTTTGAAATATTTGATGAAAGATATAAATATTAGTTTATGCAATTAATTGTCATATGAGTTTCAATTACAGATGTGGCATTTAAATTTTATAAGTCACTCCTAATTAGCAATTAAGATAGCAATGGTACAAAACCAATATTTGCAACTTTTCTTTTGGAATGAGTTTTGGTGCTAAAAGGATTGATGAGTACTCATAACTCGTCACCACTTTGCACTTTTTAGCAATGGAACAGACCAATATTTACAACTCTCATGGTAGCAATGAGTACCATGCTACTCATAATTGTGACGAGTAATGAAACCAATTCCTTCTTGTTACAGCATAAATTTTGGGGAATTGTCATAAATAATTGAATTTTGCACATTAATGCACACAAACAAACCTTTGGAATAGGAGTCTCATCAACTTTAGGCTTCATCCCCACGGAAGTTGCATTTGCTAGGACCATTCCTTCTTCAGGATGAAACTCTCCCAGTTCACTCAATGGTATTGCTTGTTGTGAAACAATGCAATGTGTGTCGGATTTGTTGTTCCTCCTTTGCTGCCGCCAACATTGCTTTTCCTCCAACTTTTGCTGCTAAATCTGCAGCTCGTTCTGGAATGTGTGCCCACAAGTATGCATATTCATCAGTATCTAAATACGTGTTGATTCATACGGAGTAATTGCCTTTTGAGAGGCCTTGCTCATGCACTCGTCTAATTAATAACGAAATTACGATGTGATAAGTTTAGCATTTTACCAAATGTGGGGTTAGAAACTACAACTCTTGCTCCCTTCTGTGCAGCGCCATAGGCCAGCGACTTGCCAGCTCCACCGGCACCCATTACGACAAATAGCCTACCCGCCAAGGGCGATTCACCGCCTGGTGTTACACCATACGATTCTGTAAAGGAGGATGAACTAATCTCATAAACCATGATTACTTAATTCTGCAGTATTCTCCAAACTTTAAACAATGTGTATATATATATATGCTCCAACAACAAGTCACTTAGAAATCAACCTCTTAATCCATCCTCAATAGCAGTGATGGCACCGATGTAATCTGTATTGAAAGCTATCAATTTCCCATCTGGTCTCCTTACAATGTTATTGATAGCTCCTATCTTCTACAAAATTTGTATATATGAATCAAATACGATTTAAGTAATCTTCTGATAAATAAATAAATAAAGGTACCTTGGCAATAGGATCAATCTCATCCATGCATTTAAGTGCAGCCTCCTTATGCGGAATCGTACAACTGCATTTTTCATCACAACATAAGTTGCAACACCTTAGGTACTTCCATATAAAACTAATAGCAATCTTTAATGGGATTCCTTTGGTTGAATCTGAATCTAACATCAGCATTTAATTAGCTTAGTTATATTTTTGCATAGTCATCACTATATTCTTTAGCATTAAGAATATTTATTAAGTACCTGCATCCAGAAGCAAAATCAAGAGACGAGTATGTATTAAAAAATTTCTCTACATCATCCACCAAAAAGTGCATATAAACTGCATTAAGCTTAACAGACTTGAATGCTGCATTGAACAAAAGAGGACTTTTGCTGTAACCTACTGGCTTTCCTATGATTCCATATACTTTAGTGTCAGGCCTTATAAGCCTAAAATTGTACAGCTCTAACAAGTCTTTGGCTGTAGGTTGTCCTAGAGCTGAGATTGCATCTATCTCAAGCGCTGCATAAGTGAGATAGCCACCGAACTTGGGGCTGAGGAGCCGTGAAATCAAACCCCTTTCCCCCAAAACAATTCCTATTACTGGGATCTGCAAAATTTTCCAACTTCCACATCAGAAAATTCTCAAGGAAACTACTACATATTCATATTTATATGTGTGTGTAATGGATAACTTACATGAGAATGTACAGTGATCTGAAAAATTTGAGCACAATCTGTAATGTCCAATGCGGTGGTCACAATCTTGGCAATGTCAGCCCCAGTAGATTGGATACTTGCAACTAGATTTCCAATGGTTTCATATGATGGAGTATCGTGGAAGTTGTGTGAAGAAACTATCACCTTGAAATTGTCTGGTTTCTTTCCATTGATAGAACTGATAAAGTCATGAGCAACCTATGACATAAAATGTTGATAATCAAATTGTAAATATCCTTATTTACATAACTTGAAATACTCTTTTTTTGTTTTTAATTTTTAGGGCAACCTGAAGCTCAACATCAATATAATCAGCTCCAAATTCCATGGCCAGACGAAGGGCATTCTGCCTCTTGGTTTCATCGCCTTCATATTGACCACCCTCCCAAATAGGTCTGAAAATTTTCATAACCAATCATTTGATTTTTCTATGCTTCGATATGAATTTAAAACCTCAATAGGAATTAATTATTAGCAAATCTGAGAGTAAGTACTATGAATGTACCTGTAAGTGACAAGAGTGGGCAAAGGACTTTGTTTTATGAGTGTTTGAAGATCTGATAATGGGTCGGAGCTTCCCAAACAATCAAGACGGATCTCAACAATATCAGAACCAATTTCCTTGGCCCTTCGCATATCAACAAACATTTGATCTACTGTGGTTCCCACAAGTGGAATGCACAGAAGTGTTGGGCTGCTCACAACTGCTCCACTTCTGCTCTGTAACTTTGACATCTCCAACTAATAATTTTGTGACAGTCATTTCCAGAAACACAGCAAAAAGATTAGATTTAACGTCATAGCCAACTAGTTGAGCCCGCCAAACACTCAAAGCAAGAAAGTAATAGGTTTAGGTTGAGAAAGCAGATTAAGAAAAGCCATGATTTTACTATTTGGAGCCGTTGAAAAATACTACCTTTGGAATATAAGACCTTGTTTGACTTTTATTTTGATCTTAAATATAAGATCTCAGTCTACTTTATCTCTCATATTTATACATTTTTTTCTAAAGTAGTCTTTTTAATAATAGTAATTCAAGTTAATACACTTGATTAGCAAGGATGTTTTAGGAAAGACAACACATATTTATTACAAATAACTAACTTAACTTATTTTCTTAATCTCCTTAAATTAGTCAACTAGTTCTTATAATTAAGACCGAAAGTGATAACATATATATATATATATATATCTGTTGATGACATTCAGAAGAAGAACAAGAGAAATCAAAGAGGGGAAAGTTTTGTTGAGAGGGGATGAAAAAGAGATTACAATAGGGCTTGCCAAGACCAGAATGGAAGTTAAGTTGCCCTTGCTTGGCAACTTTTATTAGTATAAGAAATATATAGAAGAGAGTCTAAGTAGTAGAAAGTAAGGTGCGCTAAAGAGTATGCAAGAACGGGTCCATTTAAAATAGCTTATAAGTAACTTTTCAATCGTGATTTACAGAATACGAGGTAAATATGTGAAAGTAGTTTTGTCTTGGTTTGCGTGAAACGTGCTCATAAGTGATTTCAATTGTAATAGCTAACAAAGCCAAACATCTGCTACCTTTTCATGTCCATCAAATTACTTGTGTACATGTGCTATAAACCCACTTTCTGCTTTAATATGACCATTTTTCTTCTAAATTTATGTTTCTGTAACTAGCTTCAATAAATTTAAGCTTTACAACTCCTCTTCGTAGTCACAATTATCAGCTTTTCTTTCTTTTAAAAAATTACATATTTTATCCGATGGGATATTAATAACATTATGAGCAATAAAAGAAATTATGGAAAAGTTAAAAAGGCATATTTTATATTTTAAAATATAAGGTTATGGATATAATAAAATTATTAATTAATAATTATTTGAGTTTTTTTATTTTTACAAACTCTTGCAAATAGAAGATTTTTCAGTAATTTTTTCTAACAATTGTTTAATAAAAAATTTTCTCTTATAGTTCCTTTTTATATAACACCTATTTAAGGGGGAAAAAAGAAGATGAAAATCCATGAAAATCATACACAGTTTCCAAATGAAGTTAATTGTATAAAAAAAAAAGGAAGGAAAGGGAGGGAAAAAAAAAGAAGGGTAAACACTATTCCAAATCAATAACATATTTGGATGGGACAATACTTACATGAAGTTTCTTATATCCATTACTTCAAGTTCTCCAATGTTACATGACCATGTGTCCTATTTTTGTATTAGTACTTAATAGCAAACAATGGATATAAGAGACTTGACTTAAGTTTTTTCCATTCAGATGTGACTCAATTAATACTAAAAATCATATAATTATTAAGGAAAAATACAACGGTAAATGCAGGAGGGAAGTAAAATGAAAAATCAGTGTACAAGGACAATAATAACCCTTAAACTATATATAGATCTATATATGTATAAATTACTGGACTGTAAAGGATTCCAATGGTACTCTTTTAACATAACTGTAATTTCTAAAAATGTTTTGTACTTTCATGATACTTTTTCATTTTTTTGTATACTGATAAATAATTTTCATTTGATAAATTATCTATGAATTTCCTTGTTCTCTTTTGTGAACATAAAACGACATGCCGTTTAGCATATTTAGCATTACCCCGTATCAAAAGGCATGAACTGGTGGCAATTCTTTTTAGGGGGTGTTTGGATAGAAACCAAACCATGGTTTCAGAAGTGCTTTTACGGATTACGAAGTAAATATGTGGAGGAGGTTACTTCGTTTTGCGGAAAAGTGCTTTTGAAACCGCAGTTTTGAGAATGTCACACACTCCCTTAAAGACAAACAAAGTTGAAGTGACGGCAATGAGGAAGTACGATGAAGTTGGGAATGAGACCAAGAAGCTTCAACCAGACAATAAGAGAAGCGAAAATTTGGACAGAAATTTTTATCCAATAATTCTCCATATATATTTGGAAAGAAAATTTAGAAAAAAAACATGTGGGACTTGTACTTCTCATTTTTCCTGGGAAAAATTTATTCCCTTCCCTATTTTTCCCTCTTGTTTTCTTTTTCCGTTAGTTTTCTTGTCATCAAACATAGGATTAGTTTTTTCACGAGAAAAAAAAGAAGAATGTTACCTTTTATGTATTACAATATTATTCCCCAAAACAAAAAGTTGTTTTCTCCATAAAATCTCTAAATATTTGAAGAAAAAAACTTTGAGTGAAAACATCTGGATGAGATTTATACTTTCTTTTTCACTTCGCTCACTGTCTTCTCCTCTCTCCCCCTCTCATTTTTTCCTATATAGTTTTCCCCCCTTAGTTCCCTCCCCATCCAAACACAGAATTATAACACTAAACATACAAAGGAACTAAACAAGTAGAGACAGTGATAGAGAGAGAGACAGAGATAGACAGAGACAGAGAGGAGTACCGAAAGGCTTCCCATGTTGAAACGATGGAGTTGAAAGTGACGGCGTTCGTAATGTGTGGGCGCCTAGAAATTATGTCTTGGGATATATGAGTATTCTAACAGCCACTACCAACAGGAGCTGGTACCCACGCTTACAATAACTTTTGTGTGCTCATGTCACTTTCCTCCACTTATGCTGAATTATTACAACCTACGATATTAATTCACTGATTGACAAGACAGAATCATACAAGAACAGGAATGTTAGTTGGCCTTGATACACACACACTATTGATATTGATTGTAACTTTTATATATTTTAAAATTATTCAAATTGAAATTGTTTCAATCAAGTTTTCGTGTAACGATTATGTTAAATTAATTATGTTGGTGAGCAAAATCTATGATCTATCGTGGGCAAAACAATAAATAAGTGAAGAAATTTATATGAATATTGTCGCAGGGAAAGAAAAGACGACTATTAGAGAAAGGATTGCTCATACATACAAGAAGATATAGTTTTCGTTTAAACTATATAAAAAGAAATAAGAAAAAGAAGAAAGAGAAAAAGGGTTTGGTGAGATTGGTTCATAGGGTATGAAAGCCAAAGGCAGCTGAGGTCTGAGGAGAATGTTAGGCCAAACAACTTTTCGTTGTTTATGTTTTCCCCTCAGCTTCAGGATATATTTTTTGAAAGAATATATATCCTATTATGTTCTTTTATGGCTCGTCTTCTATTTGTTTGATTATCACATGATGTTCGTCGAATCTAAAGAAAAATATTTTATTTTTATACATATCATTATAATTAGATGGAGAGGAAGGTGAACTCGAGACAGCATGTTAGTGGAAGGAGGTTGAAGTAAGAATGTTTATTATTATTATTTTTTTTCCCGTGTGTGTGACCAAGCTGAAACGTTTAGCGATGGGGGGTGTTGCTGTCTGATATAGGTTAGACTTTAGAGTGCTTAGTATGGAGGAATGGCCAATTATTTAAGGGAATTCAAAAAAGGTAGTGGGTGATGCATGTCAGTGACGAGGGAGATAGTGCACTTGCCGTTGAATATATGAAAATTAATTACCGTGATGGCCATGCTGATTTTTGGATAAAGGCCAAAATGAAGTTGTTATTTCCTATTGAACGTACAGTTATCAATCTCAATATATTAAGGTCAATGTTTCTATATAAATTTATGTACTTTGAAACTTCCTAAAATGCATTTGGAAGTTGTTACTACCAATTCAATTGTAGGAATTACACATTTCATGAACATATCAGTTTAGCCCATTTTGTTAAGTGCTAATATCAAAAAACGCAACTTGTGAATTTCAATTAAAAGTTAGTAACACTACAACAAAATAGCCTTTTTACCTCCTCACTTAATGTCTGTTTTGTAAAACACAGGAGATATTCTCCTCTGTTTTGTAGAAAAGATGAGAATATATGCATATTCTCATCTGTTTCACAAAGAACAGATGAGACGGTTCTCGTCTGTTTCTATAAACAAACGAGAACTTGCATCTTCTCATCTATTTTCTTAAAAACAGAAGAGAAGATGCCTTTGTTATTTTAAATAAACAATTGCTCTATACACACGCGCGCGCACCAGCCGTCCAGCGAGACTTTTTTTCCCTTCCTCTTTCAACTTCCACTCTCTACCTCTACTCTCTCTACGGAAAAAATTCTTTTGGCCTTCACTCCCTCCACAGCTCTAGCTTCGTCTCTCTATGAATGCATGCTTGCCGGTCGCCGCTCGCCATGAACACGTTGCTCGCTGCTCTCAGTGGGTTGCTCGCCATGAACCCAGTTCGTCTCCAAGCTTGACATCAACCTAGCTGGTCTCCAAGGTCATCGTGAACTCCAAACTAAAGTTTACACACACACATCTATCTCATTTTTATTGATTTGCTGTGCCGCCAGCAAAAAAGCCAACGAAGTGTGGATACTATGTTATCCATTTTATGTATGAAATTATCAAATGTGTTCATACTACAAAATTTAAAAATGTAAGTGCAAATAATTTTAGTGGTTATAGTAGTTGAATTTGTCAATTTAATTATTGCCTATTTTATTCTCTTCATGAATTTAAATGTGCTAGTTTCTCTTTTTTAGATTTTTTATTATGATGAACTTGACATTGATTTTATTCGAGATCTCTTGGCATAACAAGTTCTTGAAGAACTGTGGTCAAGACAAGATTCATAGAGTAGCATCATGTAATTATGCTTTAGCTTCGAATATATTAAACTTCTTTTTGCCATTATATCTTTTACTTTAGGACTGGTTAGCTTTCATAATTATAGATAATTGTGTTGTACTTTTGTTATTATGGTGTTTGCATGTGACGGTTTGCTAGAACTATCTATAGTTGCTACACTTGTGGGTTAA